ATATAACTTTCTGTTAGAAATAAGAAGAGTTCAGAGCAAACCTGTGTCATGTGATGGAAGTTCACACTGYTCCTGAGTCTGCTGCTGCTCCTGCTGCTGCTGCCTCCTGGCCAGTTTCTTCATCTAAAACAAAAACACACAACACCACGATTCAGAAGTATACCAAACATTTAACAGCAAGTATTCACAGTGAGGTGCAGGGCCCCTGCCAGTGAGGGACATGAGCTCACTTTGTGAGGAAATACGACGATAGTGTGCTCTCTGTGACATGTCATCAGTTTCTTGTAAAATAAAATAACTCAACTGGCTTCGATGCAGAGTGCAGAAAGAGTGTTTTCATTTGCTGTGCATGTGACTCTGTGGGACTTTTTTCATGATCAGCTTCAAAAACTGGCAGAACACTAATTTATGAGGATTTCCTCTAAAAGTGAAGACCGACTCAAGCTCCTCATACATGATTTATTAAGGTTAAAACACATTTTTTAAAATTAAAATAAAAAAAATTAGGGTAATACAATGCATGTGTGTGTGTGTGTGGGAGAGAGAGTGTGTACTTTACTTTGGCTCTCTGGTTCTGGAACCAGACCTGCACAACACGAACGCTCAGGCCCGTCTCTGCTGCCAAGGTCTCCCTCACCTTGGATCAAAATTCCGCAGGAATAAAGTTTAAAAAAAAAAAAGGACAGAAAATGCAGTCATTTTGAAGGTAATGACATTTATATCATCTCACTGATCTGCCACAGAAAGAAAAAAAAAGACTGCGAGAATGAACTGAATTTTGTGATACACTCAGATATAATTTCCTCATGGTTGTTAAAACTTGTTTTTTCATGATCCTGCTATGAAACAAATATCTGTCTAAAATCTGATATTCATTTGTATCACCATCTGTTTGACAGCTAAAATGTTCAGGGTCTTTGCAAAGAAAATACAACTAGAGAGTTTAAGAAATTTTCAGTTTTAGCAAAATATTTGACATTTTAAACACCCATCTCTTACATTTAGGTTAATATTTTCTGAGGTGGTGCAGAAAATACATGTTTATGTAAAGCAGGAAGATACAGAACAAACTCTCTACCTTTCGACAGGGCTTCGATGAAACTTCGTAGGACGCCTTGAAGGTGCGTCTCTGCTGAGTGGTCAGAATGGTGCGAGGCCTTTTGGGACGTTTGCTGTCTGGATTGTCTGCTCTGCCTCGCCTGCCTGCAGTCCTTTCAGATTCCTCCTCTTCGTCATCATCACTTTTACCTGGTGAATGGTCAGGATTACACAGACATTCAAGTTAAGGTCAAATATTATGTTCATGTTCAGTTAGTTTATTCATTTAAAAAAACAACAACAACATAAATTCAACATGCAATAAAAATACAAATCATAAATTAAATGAAAGGTAGCAGAAGAAGAAGCAATCTTATATCTGCCCTTTTCCTCAAATAAATAAATTCAATCAAAAATAATCTTCAGCTTACAAAAATAAAAAAGTACAACAAAAGGTTTTGTTAAACTGTCAATGCAAAAGAACAATTTCCAGAATA